TGGCGCTCATAATAAACACTCGCACCGTTGCAATTGTCCTCTGACTGGGAATCCTTAGGGAGAGGGTACTGTGGAACAGGATTTAGTGATACATTGGCAGATAAAAACCAATACGGTAACTGCCTGTACGACTAATACTCAGTGCATGAAGCATAATCCGGTCAGATGAATCTTCCAAATGATGTCGGCTGGTTTGACTTCAGACTATGCATGAACACAATTGAAAGCTATATATATATATATATGTAAAATAAAGTTTACCTGCCTTGGCCTGGGCAACCTGGCAGTATTCCGCCCACATGCAACGTTTTTCCTTTTCATGAAGATTATTGTACCGTGATTTGCTTTGCACACAGTCTGGATTCAGACATGTGTGAAATATAATAATGCAAGTAACTGTCCATCGAAGTAACATGAAAAGTGAATCAAAATTACCGAATATATGTTATCTCACATAAATGGCAAGTTACACCTCCAAGGGATGAAATTTCAGCTGTTTCCGAACGTAACTTTAAGCGAGATGACGGAAAGCGAATATGAAAACCAACAGATTATTCAAGGACGTAGATGGTGTGAAGATGACCCACTTGAACAATACGAGCAGTCTTTCCAATCAGCATTCGTTCCATTCGATCCCCTCGACCACGTCCACCACCTGAGTTATCTCCACCACCAGCATTTCGGAATCCGGTAATCGGTGTCACCGTTCGAACGTCGTTTGCCCGCGGTTGATCGACTGCACCCTGACTGCTGTTTAAAACAGCCAGTTGACGTGTTTTCGCCACAACTAGACCGGCGTTTTCCAAATGTGTACGGGAGTACACAAAAGCCCATGAGCGATAGAGGTGTTTTACCTCACCAATCAGTCCACAGTGCGGTTTCTCCAAAAGTCTAACTGTTTGTTTGAGCTGAATTAAATTGCCATTGCGATCCATTGCCTGTGGAGGACGCCTGCGTTGCGTGTTCAACCGACGCAAGGCAGTGTTCGATTTGAGATTCACAACTTTGCCAAAACACGTGAGCACGGATACTTGTTCTCGTTCTACGTTAACTACCACGCCGACTGTTTGTGGATCGACCTCGACTAAATCCATCATTTGTACGTGACCGGATGAGTCCAGACTGGTAGCCCGATCCTGCCAGAGGCGTAGATCTTTCGGGGCCACTTTTAGCTCGTCCATGCTGTTGTCCGAAAGCACCACGGCCAGATTTGGTTCAAATCGTATTACCAGACCAGTTTGGTTAGCATGGCGTCCAGCGAGAACCTATAAAAAAAAATACCACGATCAACGTGAGCGGTGTGATTCAAAAGTCAAACATCGTAATACACTGCAAACAAACATAAAGCATTTAAACAATATACCAGTTTGGTGTTACTCGACACAGATTTATGCACATACCTGAAATGCAGCTAGTTTGTGCTGAAGATGAGATATACTGGAGGAGGGGGGGGGTACCTGGCTACCGAGTTGTCTGACGTATTTTCGATTTCCACTAGAATACCTTTTCATCAAATCAAACCGGTCAAAGACACGCTTAAGCAAACCGATATTCAGTACAGCTGCGTTCCACACCTTGGCGCGGTTGAGTGAGCAGCTTAATTTTTCTTGAATAATGATGCTCAGGTCCTTCTCACTTGAGGCGTGTGGCAGTTGTTCATTTCCGAGGAAATACAAAAATCGTCCCTTGTGTCGTGGAGATGGAACCTTGCACTTTAGCACATTGAATTCAATATCATTCAAAAGAGATCAGAGATGAACTGCTTTGAGCATTTCCTGGAATGCTTTCAAAGTAAACCCAAATGGACAGTTAAAACAACCGCATTTCAGCAGATACCGATGGCGAATTAGCGATCTCCCAAGGAGTGAGACCCATACCCACGATCATCAACAGTGCCTGGTACCTGTGACAAACCGAATGGGCTAATCCAAACATTCAGTTTAAATACAATGTTTGTGATTTGTAAATTCTGAGGTACGTCTCAGTATACTACTGATTAAAGACTCTAGGAAGTGTTGCTTCTAATCTTGACTATTCTTCAACAATAGCTTTCTTCACTTCTTTGTTTGTATGGCAACATCTGTCTGTCAATAATTCTGTATTGGATTTAAACCAGGGCCTTGAGATAACCAATTCAGTAGTCGAATGTTGTAGCACAACACCCAAGCCTTCGCGAAGTATGCAGTATGAATGGTTGCATTGTTAAACTGGAAGTTGCACCATTTGACTTTGAAAATAGGAATGAGACGGTTACGGAGGGTCCATCTTGTATAGCCAAAGAACTTATTCTTGCTGCAATAGTGGCTTCCCATACAACAAATGAATCACCTTTGAAACTTCAGGCGTTCTATATTCGTACCGCCCAAAGTGGACTTTTTTCCATCACCATCGAGCATAACTTTCTTCCATTTATCATTCTCCGTTCTCTTGTTCGTGAAACTATGCAGTGTATCTGAGTGGACGTCAACCAGAGTACCTTTCTCACCTTGGTTTAGTTAGAATTCGCAACATTTTGGAGCAGTCGGTTCAATCACTGACGCCCAAATGAAGGTTAGGAGAAAACTTTTACTTCATGTCCTTGTGATCCGATCGGAAGCTGCGCCAGCAATACGATGTAAGATGCAAAATTATTCAGCATGGT